TGGAGGCCTCCCCGCCTGCTTCCCCAGCACCAGAACTGCTTTGGCAACAGCAACAACTTCCCACTTTTACAGTCAGGGCTAAATAGCAGCTAATTATTTTTTACAACTGTGTTGGAGGCATGCCAGATAATTTCGCATGACTGTTCTGAGCACACAAGTGCAGAATATGATCCAGGGGCTGGAGTAACTTCCCTGAGGCCACAGTGAGTCAGCTACTTCATCACATCTGGGTCTCTTGAAATAGGGACACTTCTGAAAGGTTTTTAACCAGAGTAATTCTACAAAAATAGATACAGACAGGAATGTACACAGGGCAGAATAAGGCGCTTTTGCAGAACTGGGCCTTATTTTGGAACCAAGTTTTTGTTAAAGCAGCATGTTACCAACACAGTGGATTCTGCATTAAAAAAAATAAAAATAAAAAAAATAAAAAATAAACAGGCTCTGAAGCCTTAACAGTGGAGGGCTGATGCCTGAGACCTCCCAGTTCACGACACTAGTGGGTCCAAAGTCATGGGGCCAGGCCCAGGCTGATGTCCATCGGTGCCTGGAATAGCTGCAGGACACACGGGCTGTGTCACACCGTCTGCCCTTGCAGGGCCGCATGCAATGGGGCGACTCGGCCACGTGAGCGTGGCCAACACACGGTTCTGTGGGGCAAATGGACATGTCACACTGTAGCCAGAAAGTGTCACGGGGCAGGAGCCTGGTGCCACGTAAGCACTGCCAGTGGGATGCCTTACAGGGCAGGTGACTCGCACGTCGCTTCTTTCTTAGCAGTGAGTCAATGCCAAAAGGTGCCTCAGAAGCAGGTGGGAGAGGGGTAGCTCCACATGGAAGGGAGCAAACCCGACCACACGTGCACTAGGCCCTGCAGGCTGATCCTGCAGGGAAGGACCCAGGGCTGCATGTGGAGAGGCCATTTTCTGGGAGACTCCCTGGAAAGGACACGGACACAGTGCGTGTGCGATCACTCAAACTCCAGCGCAGGCAGAGGGGAGCCGCACGCTGCCCTGGGGCACTACATGTTGGCTACACATCCCTCTGCCTCAGCTTCTTCAAGTTACAGATTTTCACAATCTCCTCTTGTCTGCTCTAAGAGAAGTAAATTCTGTATCAATGGCAACCATGAGAGCCTGTATAATTTAGTGCGAGTGTTTTCGAAGAGGGTGGCAAAGATACTCAGCCTTGAAGGACAAGAGTGTGTGGGCAGTGAGGTTTGCTTTGCTTTATCTTGGACAACACTTTGCCAGTGCTGTCTCAGCAGCTGCATTTTTGATCCCAGGGATTTATGAGTCAGTGTTTGCATGTCCCTGAGCCACCTGTTTGAAGGTACATCCCGCAAAGGACGAGTGCCTAAAACTGAAATGGTTATAGGTGGGTGTTAAACATTCAAGCACTCTGTTCTAGCACTCAGGACTAATTCCGGATCCTTGCCTGAGCTTCTGGTAGAAAAGGGCACCTCTTTCTTTAGATGTACAGGATCTCTGGATGTGTTTGCCTCAGTGAAGTCCCCAGCAAATTTGAGAGCAATGAGGCTATGCAGGATGTAATATCCCATCTACATCAGAGCAACACCAGGCTGAGGAACCTGCACTCTGCCTCATCTGCACTCCTGCCTTTGCCAAACTGCTACAGGCAACAGGGTCACCACAGCCTCAGAGCTGGGGTGGCCTGCTGGGACACAGGGCACCAGCCAGGACATGGCCCTTCTTTTCCAACCTGCTTTCTGGGTGATCTGTGCAGGATTACCTGCTCCACTTCTGGCCATTCCTTTCTGTTAGACGGGATCCATTCACTAAGTGACACTGGTGTCTCAGCGAGAAGCAGCACAAGCACCACACCAGGCATTTCCTGGCAAGCAGGTAGGAGAGTGGCACGTGAAGATCCTGTTACCTGACAGGAAAGAAAGAAGAAACAAATGATATCTTATCCTATTTTTTTTTCCTGACCACAGTACTTTCCTTATCAGGAAACCGTGACTGCATTTGCTGGTACAAACAGCTGCTGCTCACATGGGGTTAATGCTCCCGGGTTTGGGTCACACAAGCAGCCTGGTGGCCCCCAGGGAACCACCACCAACCATCTGGCAGGGCACAACCAGATTGCCAGTGGTGCGGGGCCACCACAGACTGACATGTGCACCCCCTCCTAGGTCCTGGAACAGCTCTAGGTCTAGGTCAGCAGCTTTAATGCACCCTGGCAAGAGCACAGGGGTTGCCTTTGCTAGAGAAATACATCACTTTGCAGGGCACTGTCCAGTGAAATCCTCATCTGTGGATTCAAAAACTGAGCAAAACTGTTTAATAACCCAGCAAGAAATGTGCATTATTTCACAGCAAGCACCAGGGAGTCCTAAGACCCATGAAGGAAACACAAGATGGAGTAGGAGCTACTGATCTGCAAGTAACTCCGTTATTAGCAGATCAGCAGATCCTGCAGAACTGGGTCCTTAAAGCTCAGGTTCAGCACATGCCCAGGGGCCTCCCATGGAAAACACATCAAAAAATGCTTTTCTTTCCAAGAACAAGCCAGGAGGCAGGGAGGAGTTTTCCATGCAAAGGTGGAAAAGCAGCGGCTCCGCAGAGCAGGAGCAGCCCACGGCGGGTCCCCACGGGGCTCTGCCGACACGGGGCTCCCGCCCCGCTGTCCCCGGCGGCCCGGGGACACGGCGACGCCGTTTGCCACTCCAGCCGAGCTGGGGGGGTCTCTCCGTTGCCACCCCGGGCCAGGCAGGACCAGCAGCCCGGCACAGAGGGCTCACACAGGCGCCAGGCGGATCCCACACTCCTACCTTGCAGCACATGGGTTTCCCTTGCTCTGTCACTGCAGGTGTGCCAGCCTTCTTGTCCCGGTAGGTTCTCCAGAAGCTTTCCTGAGTCTCATGTCCTAACAGAGGGGAAAAAAAAAAAAACAAAACAAACAGCATATTTTGTTTCTTTGTTTGTTTTTTAAAAAACACAGGAAGAAGTGATTTTAAACAAAGGTGAGCACTCTAAGGGATGCTACTGCAGATTCCTAAAGCAACTCAAGGAAAAGCAGTGCTCCCTGGCAGTGCCCCTTCAGCACAGCAGGACACACTTCCAAGGAAGACAAGCAAAGTCCAGCAGTTGAGCCCTAAAACAGACCCCCCCAGACCCACCACTCCCATCGCAATCACAGGTGAGCCCAGACCAAGAATCACTGCATGTTTGGCTTGGCAGAGGCTGAAGTTGTGCTGAGTAGCTGAAAAATGAGGTTGTAGAAATAAAGAAACTAGAAGACTACTTAAAAAAAAAAAAAAAAAAAAAAAAAAAAAAAACCCAAACAAAGAAACCCTAGACCCTCCTGCCCAAGTAAACTCTGCTGTCAGTCAGTGCTAGGTCTTACCCGCACTCTCATGGCTCAGGATTTCAAAGCCTTGATGGTCCAGGACTGATAATGGGAAGAGGCCTCTGCCTCCCATGGGCAGCTCCAGAAAGCTGCCTCGGCCTTACGCACACAAATTAAACAGTAAAGCAACAATTAAATCCAAAGCACTTTTGGACCTCAGTCATCATTGACAACCACATATCCAAGAGATTTTGAGGATGGATTTGTGTTCAAGCTACACCTGCAAGCTAAGATGTAACTGGGATGACTTGCACTGTCTGAAGCCATGCACAGACATACTTAGCATCTCCTGCTCCAAAACCAAGCTCTTCAGAAAGTTAAACTGCACAGTCTTGATGTATTCCAGGTGTAACCTGCCTGCTGTTACAAGGTTCCTATGAGATCAATCCCATTCCCTGCTGCTACACACCTCAGCGTGCTCCTGTGGCCACAGCCAAGCTGCTCTTTGGGAAGACAACTTCCACTCCTTCCCTCCTTCAGAACAAATTGCCCTTAATGATCATACAGCTCCAAGTTTGGCATGAGCCCTCTAAAAGCTGGGCTGTTCTAAAAGCAGAAAAACACAGTGTTTTTCCTCGGGTACAGCTCTGCCTATGGACCATCCGCCTGGAGGCGTTTATGGAGCTGCTCCCATCCCTGGGCCCTGGCAGATGGCTGGGCTAGCACAGCTCCACATGGTCCGCTCCACTCCCAGACACACGGCGTGTCTCCATACATGATGGTCTTTGGGCGACATGGATCACTGCGTGCAAAGGAAGAATTTGGAGAAAAAAAATCAAGCAATTTGGGAAAAAGCAGAATCTGGGCAGTCCTAGGGAGACCGAGGATACCAGAGCCTCTCTCGGCCTGGAGCAATTAACCCCAGGAGCTGGCAAGGCCCTCGTGTTACTTCTCACATTTAAAACCAGCCTCTCCCTCCCTGCTTGAGGGCAGCACGAGCTGCCCACAGATGTAACCAGCAAACCCAACCAGGGGCCCAATTCTTATGGCACTTTCCATGAGCACATTAACCAAAACCACACAAAGAGTAGCAGCAGCCTGACAGCATTTTAAACCTGCTTTGTGAAAGCTTAAATATCTCTATAACATGCAGGTCAGCAGGAGATAGGCCTGCAGAACCAAATCCATCCCTGAAGCAAGAATCCTGAGGGCAACAGCTTGGTAACCTACAGGTAAAGTTAGACTGTGTATTAGGGCTGAAATTTCGGGGCAAACGCTGCAAAGGCTCAGAATGACTCAATTATTAGGAAGGGAGCTGAACATGGAGTTGGCACTGGCTGGAGCTTGCAACGGGTCAGATGCTGGAGCCTTGTGTTCCCCAGCAAGCCCAGAGCCAGGTTTGGCTGAACCCATCAGAGCGCTACCTGTTAGCCGTGGATCCACAGGCAGCCCCTTATGCCGCGGGGCTCCCGGGTGAGGGGTGTCGTGTCCCACCACACAGCCCGGGCCGCTTGGCCACTGCTTTTCCACTCAGGCACTCGCGCGGTCGCCTGGTCGTCAGGGGCCCTCAGGCGCTGCTGGGCGCCGCCATGATGCGCCAGCTCCCTAGTTGGACGCCGCCATCTTGTGCCCTCCCCGCTCGGCGCGGGCGCCGCCATCTTGTGCCCTCCCTGCGCGCGCTGTCGGCCATGGCGGGGCTGCTGTGGCGGCTGC